TGGACCAATAAATAAATCCCCTTAATTCCTGGGTCTTTGGAATACCAGAGCAAGCTCCTATTTGATATAATTCCCTTCTCCAGATCCAGATCTTCTAACTGACTTAAGAAATGCTGGATTTAAATGTGTAAAAATAACATTCAGTATGAATGTATATGTAAATAGCTTTCAACTTTTGCCTCCTGTGTTGGTTTTCTATTGCCGCACAACAAATTACTACAAACGTAGCATCTTAAAACAACACACATTTATTATCTCACAGTTTCTGTGGGTCAAGTGTCTGAGCACAGCTTGACTGAGTTCTCTGCCTTGGGTCTCACAAGGCTACAATCATTTTGTTGGCTGAGGATGCTGTCTTATCCGAGGCTTGACTTGGGCAGGATCTGCTTTTGTTGGCAGAATTTACCTCCCTCAGTTGTAAGACTGAAGGCTTCAGTTTCTTACTAGCTGTTGGCCAGAGGCCACCCTTCATTTCTTGATACATAGATCTCTCCATATGACAGCTCATAGTATGGCAGTTTGCTTCATCAAAGCTAGCAAGGAAGAGTGAGTCTCCTCACAAGAGAAGTATTACAATTTCATATAACATCGAGGCCACCACATGGCAATTTGATTTTTCAAAGCTACAACAGAGAGACACTAGCAAGATGGGCACTGCAATCTTGCATAACATAGTCCTGTGCATCCCTTCTCTCATGGAGAAGAAATCACACAAAGAACACTGAGAACCCAGAGGTCATAGAATTTACACTAAGAGTCTGTCTATCATGCCCACTTACAGCAAACTAATGATTCTCATAATTTGAAATATGAGCTAATCTAGCTCATATTTTTCCCAGTTTCATTTGACTCTGACACTAAATTCCGTTTATTATTTGTTGATCCTGGAAAATGATCAAACCCTAAAATTCTAAAGGAAAACCAGAAAGAACAATTTTCAAGAAATTCTAGCTATGTCAAGAAGTATATTCATTTAATTTTTGCCTTTTCAGTGGGTACTGCCAGCTACCCTTGAGGAGACAGACACACATTTGCCTAAGCCATTATTTAATCCGATTAGTACCAAATCACTATCCAAATTCTAGGCAAACGGCTGGGAATTCTTGGCCATACAAGCCCATAAAATAAAATATATTTTTTTAAAGTTCATGTTGGTACTTTCTTATTTGTCTGGTTTTAGTATAAGTATCAGACTTGAAGCCAAGGAATCTATTTTGTAACTAAAAAGTATTCTTGCATATGAGGGTCAACAAATATTCTGAAACTAGTCTGGGCTATTGCAAAATTACAGTCCCAATACCTGACTTCCTTATCCTGTGTATGTGTCTGGGAAAACAGTTCTCCCTCACCGCTGCTCACATTTCTGCACTGGCCTTTCCTGCTCCCTGAAAGCCCAGGGCTATTTGACAGGGTTTCCCAGAGGTCTAGTGTAACAAGAAGCTAAACGCCCTCTGCTTCAATTTGCATCTGTGTTTAACCTTTATACAGAGTAGTATTTATTTCATTTCTAACTCTCTTGCTCTACTATAGTTATCCATTACAATGAAATAAAATAAGCAAATTCTATTAAGATTAAGAAGTTTCTGCTAAATTCTCAATTTTAAAATGATAGCCATGAAACTATGGTGTTAGAAGTCAGAATAGTGGTCACCAGTGGCTTTGCAATAACTAGAAGGAAGCAGGAGGGGGTCTTTGGGGGGTATTGGTCATGTTATTTTTCTTGATCTAGATGCTCATTATATGGCTTTGTTCGGTTTGTGGAAAACTTTCAAGTTGTGTTCTTACAGTATGCCCAGTGATTATGTGAAATTTTTTGAAATGGAGTTACGTTATTGCTTAGTTTTGTTGCTGTGAAATGAATTTGTCATGTTTTTGAGCTTGGAAACTTAGTTACAACTTGATTTAAGTTCCTGTTTCATGCTAAACTTATTAAGTAGATTACAGTGTGGCTGAAACTGCTTCATTTTTAAATTTGTTTTGAATTACTTTTCATTCTGCTTGGTGAATTAGATGCTATTAGGTTATTACAAAAATTTTAACACATACAGAAACACTGTCCCCAACTCACCATTGATTAAATATTTAATTTTTAAATTTTTCTAAGGTATTTTATGCTAATAATGATAAATGTAAAACTAGGGGACTGAAATTGGTAAGGAGTGGCACCAAGAACGCAGAGGAGGAAACCTTTTTAAAAGAGTAAGGCAGTGGGAAAAGAGGATAAGGCTATACACACTTGCCTCTTAAATTGGAGAAAAGTGAAGATCGCTCACAAATGATGGTACTGGTTTTTTCCAGGGAATAATGAACCAAGGTTCTGTACTAGGAATAGATGTTGGGGTGGGGCTGATAGTTCAAGGACAAGGGAAATAGTTAGGAAATAGCATTGATAAGGTAAACATGGCTGAAGGTCAAGGGAATTGAAAATACTAGTGAGAGAGTGCAGTTTCAAAAAAGTCGATAAAAGGGTTCCCACAATTTAGGGAGGTAAGCAAAGGTGGGAAATAAGTGATAAACTTTGAGAACAAAGACTGGAGGTCACGCTGAGGACAAACCGTAGACACAATGGGAGAGAGCGAGTAAAAGAGATACAAGAGTAGGTAGCTGTGGGTAGAGAGAAATTTAACAATTGAAAATTTTGCAGGTGGAGTGATTTCATCTGATGACTGGATTCAAGGAGTAACTACATCTGTGGGTTTCTGATAGAGATGAAGCTGAAGATGATTGGAAAAGAGAAAGATGAGAAACCATGAGGTCAGGGTTCTAACTGAGTCATTATCATGGATGCTGAAATCATTAGGCTGGGACAGGACATGCAGATCATTCCACGGCTGACACAGAGTTTCAGAAAAACAACTGGGCACAGGCAAGAAAGTAAATGGCTATCTTGGTCATGGCCAACTGTATGCAAATAGCAAGCAAGCAAAATTGGTCTTTGGCATAGATTACCTTTATTATGTAGCATTTTTTTCCTGGCTTTGTTCCCCTACTCTGAGTAACCTCATTGTCCTCATGTCGCTGTCTCACTGTACACTTACCCACCCTATGCTTTTGATATATGTGAAATCCCAAAGGACCGTAAGGCATACATGGCAAGTTCTTGATTGATATATCACTTTTTCCCACTTACTGTTGCAACTTGACAGGGTTTTCTCATGACAAATCCTTAACTGAAAAGTGGTCATTTCAGGGCCAATACCCTAAAGAGGTGTCTGCAAAGTCATGCAATTCCAGCCCAGAGGGGAAGGGCTCTTCCTCTTCTGAAAAATCTTTCTTCAGTATTGATTCATTTTTTTAGCCCAAGACTTTAACCATCCCCACAAAATGTGAGTTTCTTAGAGGTTAGAACTGGGTTAAGCCAATCCAGAGATACCCATGAAAGGACTGACTCAGTCTTTTGCCCTCTTGACCAGTGCGCAAGGCAGACTAGTGTGCTGTGAGATATCGATTCCCTCCCCATCTTTATTCCCTGTACCAGTAAAATACCATCATTTTCAATATATGCTTTGATGCAAAAGGTTTGGGAAGCCCTGACATAGCAGACATTCAATAACAGCTGACATGTATTGAGCACCTACTACATACCAAGCACCTCATATATTTTAACTCATTTAACCTTTGTAACAATCCCATTAGGTTGATACCATTATTCTCATTTTGCAGATAAAGAAACTGAGATGACCTGCCCACCATCACAGACATAGGAAGTGGCAGCACCAGGAGGCAAAATCAGGCAATTTGCAACCAGAAAAGTACACTTAGCCACTATACATTGCCTCTAAATAAATGTTTGCTAGATCTAAATAAAAATTTTAATTTAAATTTTATACGTTTGTTTTAAACTTCCCTATAAATGGCAGAACTAGAATACAATCCAGTCACACTCCGTAGGTTAGCTGTAGCATGACAGGGAGCAGCAAGAGCTGAACACAGTGGAGCTTTGTCTCTCTTACATCCCCAGGTTTGCTTGGAACTCCCTTAGCACTAGAGCTGCTTTTCCGTGGCTTTTCAAAATTATCTGATCAACAAGAGATCATAATTTGTTCTGTGTTTTTCTCTGTCTGAATCCTCAATATAATGAAAAACTTTGTAATCGTTAATTTATGAGTATAATTTGTTCAAGTCCATTAAACCATTATTGCCCTCCGACAGCCTGCCATTCTTCCACAAAAGTCCCTGGCCTCGGGTACATACACACAACCTTATCGTAGAAGTTTCCCATCTTGCTTTTGAGGGGAATAAAGAAATCACAGCCTTAAGGTCCATTTCCCAGGCGGGGGAGGAATATAATGGAATTAGTTTTTGCTAGGTATTTAAATCACAGACTGGGAGTACAAACCGCAAAGAACTAGCTTCTTGGCGTGTCACACCAGCTCTGGGTTCACTGATCAATCACAGCCAAACTCATTTAGCAACTTAAAAATATATATCGTGGCAAGGTTCATTTATGTAAGACTTGGACCGAGGCCGCCGCCACCACGATCTGCGGTAATCTCGTGTGGAGTCACGACCATCGAGTCCTTCACTTTCCCTGAGAAACTCCCACGCCTGCCCTGTCCCCACGGGAGCCCGGCGGTCCCTCGCGGCTCTGAGTCCCTCGGGGAAGGACGCGAAGGAAGGCCGCGGGGCCGCAACGAGAAGGGAGAGCGGCAGGCGTACAAAGCACCCGGGCTTCAATTCACGACCCTGTTATTCCACGAAAAAATGGAACATTCCGCTCCTTCCGCCCGCAGAAGGGAGGTGGGGGGAACCCTTCGATTCGGTCTAGGAAAAGCGACGCGGGCGCAGCCGCCGGAATCCCGGACGCCAGGATCCGCGTTACGGGAATCGTAGCTGCCTGGAGTCCCGCCCCCTCGCCGTCGGGCTACCGCCCGGCCAATACCCTGGCGCGCCGGGTCTCTCTGGAGCCAATCAGCATAGAGTCCCTAAGTCCGGGGGCGGGGCGCGGCGAGGGCGCTGCGGGGCGGGGTTGGGGGGCGCAACGCCCCGCCGTGGGAGGAGGGCCGCGTGCCGCGTCTGCGGGAAGGAACTCGGAGCTAGCCGGAGCCGAAGCGGGGAGCCCACAGGCCCGCGGAGCCGCGCGGGGAACGCCCGGGCGCCGCTGAGCCGGAGGCCGCGGCTGCGCGGCCGACGGGCCCGGCCCGGCCTGGCGTGGAGGGAGTCGTGCGCTATACAGACGCGGATGAGAGAGGCGCCGCGGCCTGAGGTGAGGAGGTGCCGTGGCCGAGTGAAGGGCCGTGTAGCGGGAGGGTGAGGGCTAGGTCGGGGAGTTCGGGCCTGGGGACCTGGCACTCGAGGGGGCCACCCTTCCCCGGGAGAGGGGCGCCCCAATACCGTGTCCGTCCCAAACTTGTTATTTCCAGCCTGGAAATCCCCACATTCCTCCTTCCTTTCCGTGTTCACACACCTCTGAATTTGATTTCTACAACTTTGTCATCTATATTTCTCAAACGTAGGCGCAGACCTTATCTCTAGCACACACACACACACACACACACACCCTTCTTAGGCCCACTCCCCCAAATCCCCACTTTTTGCCCTTTTCCATCTCCCCTTAATTTCCACTAGCGCCGCACTCGAGTCTTCATTTTCTAACCGGAGATTAGTACCTCTTCACCAAAGCCATCTTTCATCCTGAAGTTATAATGTTTCACAGGGTTGAAAGTTCACCTTAATTAAAACATTTTAAACTAACGTCTTTTTTCTTCTTTTTACCTCTTACGTGTACCCGTCCTAACGAATCCCACATAACACTATATCTGAGAAGCACCGAATCCATCTTTAAAAGTTCACCCCTCCCCCAAGCTTAAAGGTTATTCCAAGCGGCAAGGTTCTGTTTTTCAGTAGATGAACAGCATTTTATTCATAACTCCAACTGAAAAAATATCACAGGTTAGAACTAAGACTTGCCACTTTTGTTTTTTGGGTTTTTCCTCCCTTAAGAACACCCATTTCGGTTTAATTTGTATAGTATTGGCATTTTCAGCAGTTACGCTGCTTTAAAATGATTAGTGATTAGGATGCCAGGATGACTCTTATAAAAGATTGGAGCCTTTGGTTAAGTCAGTGCTGTAAACAAACCCTTTAGACTGTGCGACTGCCAGCTTCAAGTTGGAACAACTCTTAATTTGAAATTCCTGACTCAGATCATCATATGAGCTAGCTGTTCGCCATTATCTTAATTTCTTAAATTCATGATAATTCCCATTTGGAAGTATTTTTGAACTGTAAATGGAATTCTACGTTTATAAGACCAACTTGATATTAAGTTAAATCATGTTTTCCAGCTATTTGTTTTGGGAGATTATTTTGAACACTTGTTTTTAATCACGTGGAAGAAAAAAATTACCTGATGGAGAAAGTGTGAGAAAAGGAGAATAAGTTTTGTAGTGGAATTTTTCCCTCAAGTCTGTATAATTGACAGTGCTATACATGTTTAATTTTCTCATAGGTAATTTAGAATATTATAAATACTGCTGCCAGCTAAGTTAATATATTTTCTTATGAAAAACATGCACAGTGTTCTCATTTTTATTTATGAGTTGCAGTGTTTTGAGTTTATTTAAAAATTTTCCCAAGGGAATTTGCACTGCAGTTAAATGTTAGGGTGAATGTCGATTATTACATACCTATGAAGTACAATGTTGTGATATCCTTTTTAGAGAAGGAAACTGAGGGTTAGGGTCCCTTTGAGACCTAGATCTGTGTAATTCCAAATCCTGTACTCTCAGTTGGTCATTTTGTCATGCTGACACATTTCTCCTAAAGGATCCACTACTACAGTTTGGTTTGGGAACTTGCCTACTCCCCATAACTGATCTGCAAGGAGGGTTTTTTCCCCCACAGAAAGAAGCAAGAGCTTCTCATTTTAACCGGAGTCGACTCCCTGGCCCTAATACATTAGCAGCCTGGCTCCCAGAGAAGCGTGGAATGTTCTCACAGTCTTCTCCATTTCTTTGATTCCAAGGTCGCATGATCACAGTTGAAGTTTCTACTCTTATTATTTTACACAACAAATACTAAACACTTACTGCTGGCTATAGGAATTCACAAAGATGCATGAGGTATTCCTAGGACCTTTATAGAGTTTACAGAAACTGGGCTGACAGATGTATGAAAAATTGCAAGGATGCAAGGCAGTTTCAATTAAACGTAGAATGATAGGGAAACTGCTATATTTAAATTAGGGAGTGATTATTTAACGGTTGGAATGATCAAAGGATTGAGCAGAGGTCAGACTTGAAACTTTTATGAGATTTGGATAAAGAGAAAAATGAAGGAAACCCATTCCAAATAAAGATCTATGTAGAAAGAGTCAGAAATAACCAAGGTATATTAATTATAATAGGCGATACATATGTAATACTTATTTTGTGCCAGTCACTGTTCTGAGCACTTTGCCCGTATTAATTCTTTTAATCCTTATGACCTTAGGAGGTAAATGTTACTATCTTCCTTTTACAAAGAAGGAAACCAAAGCAAAGAGAGGTTAATTTGTCCAGTGCCACACAGTTATTAAGGGGTAGATCTAGAATTCCTACATAGCCTGGCTTCAGAATCTGAGGTCTTAACTGTGATGCATATATTCCTTCTTCATATAGTATACTTGACTGGCAGTGACTAGAATAATATGTCCATTCCAGGAGGTCTTTTAAAACCCACTCTTAATTGTCCTCTATGTGCCTCAAAGTATCTTAGATTCTGAGGATATCAAGACATAGAAACAAATAATTACAGTGTTGGGGCGCCTGGGTGGCTCAGTCGTTTAGGAGACTGCCTTCGGCTCAGGTCATGATCCCAGGGTCCTGGGATCGAGCCCCGCATGGGGCTCCCTGCTCGGCGGGGAGGAGTCTGCTTCTCCCTCTCCCTCTGCCCCTCCCCCTGCTCATGGTCTCTCTCTCTCTCTCTGTCAAATAAACAAAATCTTTAAAAAATAATAATAATAATTACAGTGTTACCAGTCCTGTTACAGAACTGTACACAAGTGCATTGGGAACAAAGATGTTTGTGGGAACAGGGAAATTTCACAGGAGAGATGATGTTTCATTGAAGTTATACATGGTGCAAAGCAGAGCCTGGGAAAAGACATTGTAGAGTCAGGGGATAGCATATGTAGAAGCACAAACTCTGAAATAACAAAGTGTGTTAGAGAAAGTCTAGTAGTTTACTGTGGCTTGAGCTTAGTCTGTAGGAGTGAGCTTAGTCAGTAGAAGTGAGCTTAGTCTATAGGAGTAGGGAATGATAAAAAGTAGACCAAAATGTGAATGGCATGATGAGGTCAAGGAAAATAAGAGCTTAAATATTTGCTTTGCATATGGGAAACTACATAAATAATTTCAGCAGATTGTTTGCTATTCTCTTTAGATGTACAGTGGTGGGGTAGCTTGAGGGAACAGCCTGTGTAGAGGGGGTTTTTATAATAGACTTTATTATTTGTTTAAGTAATCTCTACACCCAACGTGGGGCTTGAACTCACAACCCCAAGATCAAGAGCCACTTGCTCTACCAGCTGAGCCAGTCAGGCCCCTCTGGAATAGGTTTTAAATACTGGAGAAGATAGGTTAGGCAGGCACATGAAGCCAAAATTTTAGGTTCTTAAATAGCTAGAATATTTGGCATTATTATTGACCCTTTAAAAAGCTTTTGAAGATAAGAGTGATGAGTTTAAAGTAGTGTTTTGGATAGATTCATCTACCTATAATGTCAGAATGATTTGGAGGATGCAAAGAGCCTGGAAGCAGGAAGGCAGATAAATAGTAAGGTGATCGGTGCCTAAATTATGTTAGTCATGGTAGAGGGTAGAAAAGAGACAAGTCGGAGAGACATCATGAAAGAAGATAAGCTATAATTTAATGGAAAGGTAAGAGGCAACAGTTGATCCCATTGACTTAGGCAGTTCAAGAAGGGTGATCTTAGATGGGGGGAATAGATAACGACTTTTCTTAGAAGTCAGTGCATTTATATCTATATGTGTGCACCAGCATGTGTGTATTTTTGTATTGTTTTTAGACCTTTCTATTTGAGTCAGAAGCAGAATATCCAAGACAATGATACATAACTGGAATCAAAGATCCCAGCCAGAATTCTTGAAATTATTTTGTTTGAAATAGTGATACTTCAAGTCCTGTGTCTTCATATGTTGGTATTTTTAAAAAATAGTAGATTCCAAATACTTGGGTACTTTCATAGCCAGGAGGTAAACCCTAGCAGAGAATTCAGTGAAGGAGACATAAAGAAGCTAAATGAAAGAATTCCAACCATATGATATCATTACATAGAAACCAGGAGATAAGAGAAATTCAAGAAACAACCGAAACAACCGGTCAACATGTTCAGAAACATTCCTGATATTGTTACAATGTCTACAGTTTCTTTTTCATTCTGTGTCTGTCTAGTATATCTTAATGAGACTTAATGAGGAATTAGGTAATGGATCTTGACTAAGAGAGCTGTATGTGTTGAAATGTGGCTGTAGCATAGGTTATTATTTTAAAGCTTTATGTTTACATATTCAGAGCAGGAGCTTTATTCCTTTCAGCGCAGTAAATCTGTAGCCCTGTTAAAATTTGGATGTTCTGCCTCCAAATTTTCATTTTCTCTTTACTCAGACTCATCAGTTTCATCCTGTGCTCTGAGGTAGATTGGTTTCATCATTACTTCTGAAGAGTGCATTTCATATTGGTTGTCTACACAATCTGTTTTTGTTTGGATGTTCTGTTGTATGTATACCCTCACCTCCATTCCCTAACACAAACTCATCAGAGCTGTGTTTCAGATAGCACAGCTCTGGTTTGTACACTGGCATGTGCTGGAATTTTGCCATTGATAATCTTCATTTGACATTCAGAGTTAAAGATGACTTATAGCTCATGTGTATGCTATTTTCTCTGTTTAGGAAAATCTTCACTTGTATTTCATTTCTGGGCCCTCCCAGACCCTTTGTGAATTGGGTTATTCTCTGCTTCTGTAGCATTCTCTGCATATTCTATCTCTCTAAATTTTAAACTTCTTAAGAGCAAGACCTGTTTATTTGGCTTCAACTATGTGTTTTGTTTTATTTCTTAAGCTGTAGTGAAAACGTAAATAGTCATCAAAATACTCTTTAAACATTTTCATATGTGTAAAACAGTCAGTGATAATGTATAGGGGGACTTGCCTGACTCTAAGGTCATAAACATAACTCTGTATTTTCCTCCCGTACTCGAA